ATTTGTGCCGTTGTCCGAGAACATGACCTTGCAATAGCCTCTGCGATTTATAAACCGTTTAAAAGCGTTGAGAAAAGCGGGCGTCGACAGGTCTCCCACGAACTCAAGATGCATGGCCCCAGTGCACATGCAAATGAAAGAACATATATACCCTTTCATGGATTTCGCTCCTCTTCCATGTGTAAATTTGCACACATAAGGGCCAGCGAAATTCATCGCACTGCGGGTAAAACAACGAGCGTATGTAGCCCTAGCTTCGGGTAAATTCCCTATTGTTTGTTTAACTGTATTACAGTTTAATAAGGTATATTTGACACATTTATGGTATATGTTTCGAATTAAACTGCGTGCACCAACAACCCAATAGTGCCGCTGTAGGACAACCTGCATAATCCGAGGTATAGCGTGTAGAGTAAATTTGTGAATATCTGCCACTATTAGCTTTGCCAGTGGAGAACTCTTTTCCAATATTACAGGGTGTTTTACGTCAGACGCCACATTGGAGTGCTTCAGCCTGCCTCCAACACGGAGGATGCCGCTTTTATCAACAAACGGCTGTAACCGCAAAAAACTGCTACGTCGTGGAAGTGGCTTTTTTGGCGCTAAAAAGATAAATTTTATTTCATTAGGAAAGTAGAACTTTTGAGTGTACCTTATGAGTTTTAACTCTGCGACTTGGATTTCTTTGCTGGTTAAGGGTCCTGTTTGCTTACGAAGCATTGTTTGCGCGCAATTGCGAACGTTGTCGATGAAGCTCATTATGTAACTCTTTTCAGCTTCGAAAATGAGGAGAATTTTTCGAGAAGGGTCCATTGCTGTGATGGTTCAGCCTCATTTACGGCAGCAGTTTTCTTACGTAACTCAAGCTAAGTGATGTGATCTTGTCGCTTGACCTTATGTCGTACGTAGCTAGATGACGACAACCACGGCAGACCGTGCCATCACAACTTATTCGACAGTAAACTCGATGGCGACATACACCTGGAGGCACAGTCAGCAGGATTGCTTTCAGATCTGACACGGGCCCAGCATTTGGAGGGTAGTAGACTATCGGCTAGGGTGACTTTGTAGCCATGCCAATGTCACAGTAGAATCTGTCCACCCGAACATGCGACTTTCAAGTGAGCACAAAGAAGCGTTAATCTACTTAATTAGTTTTGCTGCTAGGTGAGCAGCGCACAGCTCCAGGCGGGGTAAAGTTGTAGATTCCAGCGGAGAAACCTTCGACCTGGATGCAACTAGATTGACCACGATCTTGCCGTCTAAGTACTTAGTACGTGCATTGGCCACGGCTGCATACGCCTTCTCCGAAGTATTTGCAAATACATGAAATTCAGTTTGCACATTTGGGCTCATACCAGCGAACGGTTTAATTAAAGGTTAGACAACAATCGAAGCTCGTCACGATGAAGGTACCAATCTTTCGCTATTTGATCGGAAACCAGTGGAATCTTATCCAAAAGCTGCTTGCAATTACTGGCCCACTTCCTCAGCTCAAATACGCCTTCTAAGAGTAGATGAGATACTTCACTTTGACGCAACACAAGCTCGTCCGCGGTGTGAGCGCCTGTTAGGAGGTCGTCCATATAGAAATCCCGTAGAATGATTTCCGCAGGGGACTGGAACTCTGCCATGTTATGCTTAGCAACTTGCTGCAACGCCTTCACAGCCAAGTGACTTGCAGCAGCTGTACCATAAGTGAGACGAAGTATATGATAGTCTTTCAGTTCTTCGGTTAGCGCATCTCTCCACAAAATTCTTTGGAAATCCACATGTTTCTCGTGAACATATACCTGCCGGTACATGTTCACTATATCGGCGGTCATAACGATGCATACGGAAACGCAATAGAATAGGAAATAATTCTTGCTGTAATGGTGGGCCAACCATTAATGCATCATTTAACGAAAAACCTGAGGAGGATTTCATCGATGCGTTGAACACAACTCTTAACTTTGTTGTTTCGGTTGTCTCTTTTAATACCGAGTGATGAGGCATGTAGGTGAGGTAGCTGCACAACCCGTCTACTGCACGTTGGTGTGTTGAATCGAAGAGATCTTCACAGAACTTTTCTTCGTGTGTTAGATGTTGTCGACGCGGGACGTGGTCAAGCTCCCAAACCTTGCTTAAAATCTTAACAAGATCCACATCGCAATGTAGGCTCGGGACCATCGCGTGTGTAGTAGTTGTTGGATTTCTGGTTCGTCCAAAGGGAACCCATCCGAATGCTGTCCACTGAGCCAGCGGTGTACCAGGAAGGCCCTTGCGTAGTTGATTAAGTCGATGGTACCTGCTGTGGGGAAGTGCGGATCTGCCAGAGCAAGTCCTTTGATGTGTGGCCAATCTGCGACGCTCACACAAGTGGTAGGCAGATCGCTGGTTATCTTTGGCAAAACTAAGGCGTTGATGACGTAAGACGGCTATAATTGGGATGACGAGATAGTAAGGAGTATTCACCCATTGGCCTACCGCCTGGCGTAGAGCCTATGCCTGTAATCAGGATAGCTGATGATCTTCGTGGAAGACGTAGTTGTTGTACGCCACGCTCTGTGACAAATGAAGCGTGCAACCCATTGTCGAAAAGTATGTGCATAGCGTGCCAGCGGCCGGCGCACAGTTGGGCAAAAAAAGTTGCCGTGGACAATTTAATTTTGAGAGCCCAAATAAGAACCGATACCAAGTTTCTTTTTTTTAACAAAAGATAATTAAATTCTGCGTCGAATTGTCCGAGGCGATTTTTTAAAAAGGCTCTAGTTTTGTATTTCATTAGGGCTATTCGCGATCCGGTGCAAATGGCCTAGCATCATTGCATTGCAAATTTGTATTGCAAATTATTTGCAATACACAAACAAAATACACGCATTTGCATTTGTCATGGCTTGGCAAATTTGCAATACCGAAAATCCATAGCATAAAAATGCTATGCATTGCAAATCTGGTTGACATATCTATCAGCTGATTAAATTCATAAACAAAACCAAACCTGATGCACAAAAATTGTTTTGCACAAGCTTTACCATGACAGTTTAATAAAGGTCGCTCACAATCCATGGCATATTTCTGCAATTGCATAAATTTGTCAGCTCTTATGCACCCAATCGCGAATAGCCCTATTATGTTCAAAGTTGCAAGAAAAAAATTTTTTAAGTGTGAATGCTTCCACTTTTATGGAAAATACTTGGAATTAATTTCAAATGCCTTCAACTATTTACAAAATTATTTATAAAAATTTTTTCATAGGATGCAGCTAATTAAAAAATGTATTTAATTTGTTATCTGTACTAATATATATTTTGAAAGCGGTTTTTGTTTCTGTTCGGAAAACTCGAGAACAGCTGTACCGATTTGTTTGAAATTTTGGACGCTTACTCTAACCCGTCCAAGGATGATAATAGGAGGGTAATAATTACGATATATAAAGGGGGCGTGGTCGCTCCCATACAAGCCGAATTTTTCATTCTGCATATCTCTGGAGGTGTTCATGGTAGAGTATTGGAACTTGGTACGGAGATATGTGAAATAAGTCGAATACTTATGGAGAAAAATTGGGGCTATTAGAAAGGGGTCGTGGCACCTGCCTTTCAAACCGAAATTTTTCACACTGCATATCTCTGGAGGTGTTCATGGTAGAGTACTGGAACTTAGTATGGAGATATGTGAAATCAATCGCATACTCTTAGAGAAAAATTTAGGTTATTGGAAAAGGGGGTGTGGCATCTCCCATACAAACCGAATTTTTTCATATTGCATATCTCTAGAAGTGTTCATGGTGGAGTACTGGAACTTAGTATGGAGATATGATATCAATCCCATACCGATGGAAATATGGGAGTTGTTGGAAAAGGGGGCGTGGCGGTTCCCTACAAACTGAATTTTTCGTACTTAAATAAGTTCAATTAACAACTTTGTAACTCTGCCTCCCTAAATTCAAATGTTACAAAACCCAAAATAAATTACATATTTCATCGAAAATACAAAATTTATAAGAAATAAGCTGCTTGTTCTTTGGAGGTTCCAGAACATGGTCAATGTGTAAAACTCTTAAACTTAGAAAACTAAAAAAATTCTGATTCTTTAATTTATAATTCATTCAACTTATTGATTAAAATAAAATACTTGTTTAAACCGATGACGTTCCGATGCGTTCATAAACCTCTGTATTTAACATTTACATATGTAGATTGTAATACTTAGTTTAACTTACTTATTACAAAATATGTGACTTGGCGTTTTAATTACCTATATACTAATTAGATTTTGTCGATGTGGAAACTTGTTCTTGATCAAGAAGCAATTCATTGGCTTCCGGATTTAAAGGGTTTTCATATTTTTCGAACGTTGTTGTTAAGCTTGTTATATAAGGATCAGCTGAGAATAAAATATAGTGAAGTAGATCAGTATTTGTATCTATACGACTTGTTGTGCGCGTATTATGCTCTCTGCATCTTTTGAAATCCTTATTCTTTTCTTCTTGGGCTTCCTATGTGCCATGAATAACAAAAATCTGTAACCTAACAGTTTTAGTACTTCTATACATACATACGTATTTCATTTACCTTTTAACATTCTCTCATTGTATTCTCTTTCCATATTTACTTGTACTTATGTACTTAACCATAATTAGTTTTTAAGTTTCAATTATGAGTTCAGTTGGTATTAAATCATTTTTTATATGGTGCCGAAACCCGGGACAGTCGGACTTGCGATCGGTTAAATTTTAATGAGCGAAAGCGGATTTAATACAACTTAATTAAAAAAGCGAATATTTAGTTCACGTTATGGAGGCTGTTTTTCGAGCGTCGTGCCGAACACAAGTCACGAAGTTGTGCAACGCGGCTAGCGATTTTCTACAAACAGTTTAAGCTACAGATTTGGCCGAGGCAAGTTGTCCCGCCACAGTGGAGGAGGAGCTAAACGTCTTCATCCAGCGATTGAAAAATGCTCATTCCAACCTCAAAAAGGCGGACGAGGCTCTACGAAGTCCTGTCAAGTTGGATGATATGCAAAGGGAAATTGAAAGCGTAATTGAATACGATGATAAAGCCGTAACGATACTTGCAGAGCTGGGTTACGTGCTTTGTACATATTTTAAGCCAACGAAAGTCAATCTACCTAACAGCGAAAACGCCGGGCAAAATGGAGAAAGTGGTCATCAGGGCATTAAGCTAAAGGCGTTCGAGTTAAAGAAATTCGACGGAAAGCTGGAAAATTGGTTGCCATTTTGGGATCAGTTCAAGCTAGCTGTGCATGAGAATCGAAAATTATCAACGGCTGCAAAATTTAATTTCCTCAGCGAATCTTTAATTGGGAAAGCTGCGACTACAACAGCGGGGTTTACGTCATCTGACCAATGTTACAACGATGCCATAGCTCTGTTGCAAGAGGAGTACGGCAATAGCGAAAAATTAGTAGAAAATTTTCTACAGAAATTGATGAACCTTAAGTTAGTACAGTCGTCGAGCGACGTTCATGGTCTGCGACAACTGTATAATCAGGTGAGCGCCATCATGAGATCCCTAACGGCACTTCAAATACCATCGTCTAACTATGAAGTTATGGTAAAGTCGGTATTGCTGAAATGTCTATCAGCGGCCATGCGCATTCAATTCCATAGATCAGCCGGGAGAGGATCTCTCTCCAGCACGTTGCTCAACTCCACCGCTGATAGCTCACAAAATTGCGGCTCAAGTGACGCAGAGTTAAAGACTCTCCTGGACTTTATCAGAGTCGAACTTGAAGCTCTGGAAAAGTGGTTGTTGTCAAAGCGTGAATATAACCGGCATGAAGACCGCGAGCGAAAAGGAGGGCACGTAAAGGCACGTACCGCCACTGGCTTGTTTACCAGCTCGAGCGATAAGCAACAGCAATGTGTTTTTTGTAAGAAAAATAATCACTACACAAAAAACTGCAAGAGTAATTTGAGTGCGGAACAGCGGAAAGCCATTCTCCGCCGCGAGGGAAGGTGCTTTCGTTGCACAAACAAAAATCATAACTCGAAATTCTGCACACTTTGACAGTTGGCCAATTGGGATGACGAAATTATCTATTATGGTTGCACCATGTATCAAAACTTTATGCATTGATACTGGCATATGATACCAACCGTATAGTTCTGTATATAGTACTGCTGTTTCTGATGCATAATTATACCTTTCATGAGCATGAAATGGTATTATAACTTTGGTTCGATGTTTGTAAGTACCAGAACAAAAAGAGATAGACCCATTAAAATGTATACTTATATGACCACAACGTCGAGCTGAGTTGATTTAGCCATGTCCGTCTGTCCGTCTGTCTGTCTGTCCGTCTGTTTGTATGCCATCTAGTCTCTCAGTTTTCGAGATATCCGTATCAAATTTGGTAGGTGGGTCTATTTTTATAATGTATTAATCATTTGTCGGAACCGGAAGAATCGGACCACTATAACATATAGCTACCATACAACTGATTGTTCAGATATGAGATTTTTCGTTATAACCTCTCCATTTATGCAGCTACGAACATGAAATTTTGCAGTACTTGCAACCATTATCAACAGAATACTTACAGTGAAAATTACGAAGATCGGGTCACTATAACCTATAGCTCTCATACAACTGATTGTTCAGATATAAAATTTGTCGTTATAAGTCCTCCATTTATATAGCTAGGAACATGAAATTCCGCACTGTTTTCAATAATTATCAACAGAAAACTTACAGTGAAAATTAAAAAGATCGGGTAACTATAACCTATAGCTCCCATACAACTGATTGCTCAGATATAAGATTTTTCGTTATAATTCATCCATTTATGTAGCTAGGACCATGTAATTTCGCGCTGTTTTCACTCATTATCAACAGAAGACTTACAGTGAAAATAACAAAGATCGGGTCACTACAACCTGCAGACCCCATACAACTGATTGTTCAGATATGAGGTCTTTTATCATAACTCCTCCATTTATGCTGCTAGGAACATGAAATTTCGCACCATTTTCAATCATCATTAACAGAATACTTACAGTGAAAATAACAAGGATCGGATGACTACAACATATATCTTCCATACATCTGATTGTTCAGATATGGGATTTTACTGTAAAACTTCTTTATTTGAACAGCTAAAACCGATAAATTTCGTAAGATATTTTATAAATAATAATACAAAGTCTACTGAGAAAATCATCAAAATCTATGCTGTATAAGCTTTGTCTCCTATAGCACTGATTGTTTAGATACCAGTTTTTGCCATATATCTCCTTTATGTAGGAAACTAAACCCAATAAATTGTGTTACCGGTTTACATACCGATCACATAGCAGTGAAAATCACTTAGATTGGTGCCATATAAAGTATATCTTCCATACCTCTAATTGTTTAGATGCGATTTTTTATATAAGTATGTAACTCCTCTATCGATGTATGCAGATGTATTCAAAAGCAATAATCTGTCAAAGTAAAATTTGCAGATGTTCATGAAAGGTATGAAGCCTTCGGCATAGCCGAAGACAGCGCTGCTCTTACTTGTTTTTGAATTTTTTTGTATCGATTGGTTTTCCTGAAGCTAAAACTTGTAATATTATATATAGCCCTTTCAGAAGCTCTTTGTCGAATAGTGTAATTTGAGAAATTTCTTCGTAATTCTTGCAGTGTTACCATCATTGTATGAACCCGCACCTTGTTTTCGAGTATCCACTATTAAACCTATTTTTTCACGAATTTATTTTTTAATATTGTTTTTTCTTTCTTCACAAATTTTTTTAGCATCAGCACTATTGCATTTCCAAATGTTTAATGTAAGTCGATAACTAATTTTTAGCACACATTCGAATATTTTAATCCATGCATGCAAAACGTGTATTCCAAGTTCAAACACACTTTCATTTTCCTTCCTTTTCAGAACTTCATTCAAGCAATTCATGTCTTTTGGTTTTGCACCACAAATAGGACAGTTTGCTGCAGAAGAAGTGTTGGTGATGTGTTGGCATACTTTACCGTCTATCATCGTTCCAATTAGTTCATGCTCGACAAAATAAGTCGTATCTTTTGTGAAAATTTTGCTTGCTTTCAGTCTTTTTATTTGACTCTTGATATTTCCAAATTCAAGCAAGATTTTTGACTTATTTTCCTTTGTATATTCGAACACTATGGGCAAACAATTTTTAGGTGAACAAGGTCTCTGATTTTTCCAAATTATTGGAAGTGATGGTTCATTTAAGCATTCAAGTCGAAGAGGGACTAGATACATTAGAAACAAACTCTCATCGGAATTTTCAGAGTTTTCAAAATTTTTGCTTATACGCATTAAATCCGGATGTTCCGTCACCGCCGTATTGTGATGTTAATTTTAAATGTTTTATATTAGAAGAAAGTTTAACATTTTGGATTTCCAATAGTCTCTCCGCAGTATGATTTAAGAGCGCCTGTAATTGAATACAAGCTTTATTTTCAGTGATAGTTATTTCAGATTCGGGCGGATAACATTGGATTTCGCCTTCGTAATATGCTTGTAAGGAGGAAGAATATCTACTCCTTTCCCCTTAAAGCGTTTCCTTAGAAGTTCATACTTACCTTTAGTCAGATTCAAATCAACAAATAGCGCTAATGCTTCATCATTGCTAAATTGTCTTGCATTTTTGTTTTCAATTAGATTTGCTGCATCTTCACTTGCCTCTGGGAACCCCTTTCTGACAATTTCAGAGAGCGTTTTTTTATTTAGAGTTTTCAAACCACCAAGTAAATTTATTTCATCTTTTGCAACAGACTGCTTTAATTCATCAGTTCTTCTTTTCTTTGTTTTTTCAGAACAATCTTCCAAACTTTTCGTTTTTCGGACTTTGCTCGAATGTAACCGAAAATGTGGAATCTAACCAACTTACAATTTGTTCAAAAAATTTTTTCTTTTGGTTTTCCTTACAAAAGTAAAGCTTAGACAATCGCTTATTAAAAGCTGGCGTAAAAAATTGGTATAATTTAGCCACAATTAGTTCCTTCAATTCATCAGAAGGATGATACTTATCCTCAAGATAATCTATTAGCACTTAAACAGATTTCGAAGTTCCATTAAGAAAAGCATTTCTTAACTCTTTGGCTGCGTTTCTTTATACATTCCGGATAATCCCATTTCACAGCCGGAATAAACAGAATGCTTTTGAAATATACGTTAACATATCATCAGGAACGTTCTAAAGAATAAGTAAACAAAAAAGTTTATTCCAAACGTTCAGAATGAATAAAGAAATTCAGCCTTTATTTTTAACCGCAAGGAAATTCATTTTTTTAAACAAATTTATGACATAAAATGTCAAATGAAAAAATTTAAAACTAGACGAAAGTAGAGTTAAAAAATGATGAAAAAAACGCTGAAATATATTTTTAGACTTTGTTTGAGCACAAAATGTCTGCGACGATAAAGTTGTCTGAAAGAAGCAAACGCGTCGGTTTCTCGATCACAATTAACAAATTTCTTCAATTCATTTCTTTTTTTATATTATTCCCATCGTACTGCTTAAAACAAACGGTTTAATCCTGTTTTTTGGTTTACTTATGTACAACGCATGTATAGTAGCGTGGGCCGAAAATCCGCTTTTTTAGAATTTTGATTGGTAATAGCAAAAATATGGTTAATTATGCTTTACACAAACTCTGTGAAATTTGGAATTTTTTGGTCAATATCCTAGGCTCGCCCAAGTCCATCGAAGTTCAATATGGTTAAAAAAACAAAAATTATTAAATAAATTAATTAATACATTTTTGACTAAAATTGCAATAACCTTCGAACGTATTAGTCCCACATAATTTGGTATATAGACCTTTTTTGTAGAGAATCGAAGTTAGCTAAGAAACAAATTTTTTTAGTACTTGAACTTTGATGGACTTCGGCGAGCCTAGGCTATTGACCAAAAATTTTCACATTTCACACTGATTTTTTTTAGAGCATAATGAACCATGTTTTTGCTATTACCAATCAAAATTTAAAAAAAAATGTAAAAAAAATATTTTTTAAAAACAAGCTTTTATTTAACCTGTACAATCAAAGAAATAAAATGAAGTAGTGTAACAAAAGATTTTTTAGCAAGAAAATTTTGTCAAAACTGCACTAAAATGAATAAAATGAAATAAGTTAAGGTCTCGTTAAAGTTACTAAAAGCCATTTAGTGAAAGGAGTTATTCAAACTCTAATGAAAATTACTAACAATTTGTACTAATTTACTTCGTTTTTAAAAAAGCTTGTCGCGCGAATAGCAAACCGGCATTTACATAAATATCAGCATACATACATATACATACATACCTAACCAACTATGCATGTACGCTGAATTCGCCGACAAGCTTTTTTAAAAACGAAGTAAATTAGTACAAATTGTTAGTAATTTTCATTAAAGTTTGAATAACTCCTTTCCTTAAATGGCTTTTAGTAACTTTAACGAGACCTTAACTTATTTTATGTTATTCATTTTAGTGCAGTTTTGACAAAATTTTCTTGCTAAAAAATCTTTTGTTGCACTACTTCATTTTATTCCTTTGATTGTACAGGTTAAAAAAGGCTTGTTTTTAAAAAATATTTTTTTTACATTATTTTATTTTATAATTTTTAGTCCATTTATAAAAGCGTTGTATATTAAAAAGTGTTATTTTATTTTATGTACAAAATTTTGCAATAGATATTATATAAATCGTTAACATTTGTGCGTTAATGTTCTTCCTTGTGTTATATGCCTTTTGTGGTTGCTTTTGTCCATCTCAGTGTTATGGACTTAAACCCCTATAGGAAATCCGCCTCCTGCATTGATGAAAGCCACAAGATTTTAATTGATATTTTGAGTAAGCAATATAATGGCGTCAAAGTGGTGCACTTCAATGCAAGAAGCCTTAACGGTGACAAACTGGATTATATTAGGGATATTTTTGGGATATCTGACGTTGATGTTATTTGCATATCGGAAACTGGGTATAATCCTGACATCTCCGACTTTTACTACAGCATTCCAAACTTCAATCTTATCAGAGCCGATAGAACACAAAGGAAAGGAGGAGGTGTTGCAATGTACTGCAGGTGTACCCTAAAATTTTGCGTTTTAGCAGAATCAAAAAACTGTGAT